TTAGTTTTGGTCATCTTGTAGATGACCAAATGTTTTTATTTTGATAGATACTAAACTCCAAGGTTAAACTATGAATGATAGGAACCAAATGTAAAATTCCTGAAGTACCACTTAAATTTCAACTGTCACTATCATTAAGAGAAATGATCGTAATGGAACCTCAGTGAGGCTCCAACTATCCTAACACATTACAATTCCATTCACCTCGAAAGATGCCTTTGGCTCCAAATTCTGAAACTGTGATTCTGACACTAAACGTGGAAATGTCATTATCCCATTGAACAGGAGCGTTTTGTATCCAGAACTTATCAGAGTCCTTCTGTGACTGAATTATTTTGAAAATCTGCCTGCTCTGATTAAGTAGGGGCATCTTCTCACACTTCAAGATTTCTTCAAATTTTTTTCTAATAAGAGACTTGAATTTGATGTGCATCCCCATGGTATTGATTTCAGTAGGTGTGTATTCTGTTAGAAGGAGGTCGTTAATCAGTCATGGCTATGCTGTATGTGGGCCTGTGGAGCACAGGTTGACTTAAGGAGATGCCGTGTGTATTTAAAATACCAAGAGGTAAAGAAAACTAGACTCAAATCGTGTACCTCTAATTCCTGTAATGGTATTAACCTAAACTCAATATGCCCAAATAGTAATCTTATTGTGGAAACTGGACTGTCTTACATTCTGGTGGGTTATTTATAGTTAAGGGAAACTAAATGTTTAAGAGTGAAGTTCAATTCATTCCTGAAGAAAGGAATTTTGTAGTTATTGGATGATGGGTGAGATTTCATTAAGGAAATAGCCCCCAAACCCTAGAGAGTGCTTGCAGTAGGAATTAACATTCCCAAACAAGTGGAGGCAGGGCTCTTGTCCCTCAAGGCCTTTCAGCTCTAAAGCAACTCAGCTGCTACAATTTCTAAATACTGCATTATCTTCTCTGACAAGTATGCAAGGTTCTCTTCTGAATGAAGTCATATAAACCTCTAATAGCACCAGGCTGGTGTACGTCTTTTACATTTTTAGTGGTTTCTAGACTTTAACTCCTTGACTGGTAGCTTTGCTAATTAAAGAAGCTCACTTTAATAAAAATATTATGTTTAGATGCTTATTATTAGGAGCTGTATGCCAAAAGCTGTTTTCAAGCTCAATCATTAAGGTTGTGAGGGTTTGTTGCTCATACTACTTTACATAACTCACTCTGAGGCTGTTATAGCATCATGTATCGATCTACTGTTATTTTATTTTATTTTCCAGATTCAGTTGGCCTGGGGTTGTTCCCAGTATCAAATATTTTATTATTTTTATTTTTTAATATATTTTATTGATTATGCCATTACAGTTGTCCCATTCCCCCCCCATCATTCCCATCCACCCTGCACACCCCCTCCCACCCACATTCCCCCGCTTCATTTCATGTCCATGTGTCATAAGTTCTTTAGCTTCTCGCTCTACTCTTGCCCTCCCCCTGTCTATTTTCTCCCCACTGTCTATGCTACTTATTCTCTGTACCTTCTCCCCCCTTCTCCTCCTCCCACTCCCCTGTTGCTAACCCTCCATGTGATCTCCATTTCTATGGTTCTGCTCCTGATCTAGCTGTCCTCTTAGATTGCTTTTGTTTTAGGTGTGGTTGTTAATAACTGTGAGTTTGCTGTCCTTTCACTTTTCATCTTTTTTATCTTCTTTTTCTTAGGTAAGTCTCTTTAACATTTCATATAATAAGGGCTTGGTGATGATGAACTCCTTGAATTTGGTCTTACCTGAGAAGCACTTTATCTGTCCTTCCATTCTAAATGAAAGCTTTGCTGGATAGAGCAATCTTGGTTGTAGGTCTTTGGTTTTCATGACTTGGAATACTTCTTTCCAGCCCCTTCTTGCCTGTAAGGTCTCTTGAGAAATCAGCTGACAGTCTGATGGGAACTCCTTTGTAGGTGACTGTCTCCTTATCTCTTGCTGCTTCTAGGATTCTCTCCTTCATTTTAATCTTGGCTAATGTAATTATGATGTCCCTTGGTGTGTTCCTGTTTGGGTCTACCTTCTTTGGGTCTCTTTGAACTTCCTGGACTTCCTAGAAGTCTATTGCCTTTGCCAGATTAAGGAAGTTCTCCTTTATTATAAATTCAGATAAGTTTTCCACTTCTTGCTCTTCCTCTTCCCCTTCTGGTACTCCTATAATTCGGCTGTTGGAACATTTAAAGATGTCCTGGAGGTTCCTAAGCTTCTCCTCATTTTTTGGAATTCTTGTTTCTTCATTCTTTTCTGTTTGGTCATTTATTTCTTCCTTCTGGTCCACTCCATTGATTTGAGTCTCAGTTTTCTTCCCATTACTATTGGTTCCCTGTGCATTTTGTTTCATTTCACTTAGTGTAGCCTTCATTTTTTCATCTAATTTGTGACCAAAATCAACTAGTTCTGTGAACATCCTGATTACCAGTGTTTTTTAAAATTTTATTTAGTTATTTTTCAACTACAGTTTTCTGTCTATTTCTCCCATCCCAGCCCACCCTGCCCCATGCTCCCCACCTCCCTCCCATTTCCACCCCCCTTAGTTATTGTCCCTGTGTTCTTTATATTTGTTCCTCTGTGATTACCAGTGTTTTGAACACTGCATATGATAGGTTGGCTATCTCTTGGTCACTTAAAAGTATTGGCTCTGCGGCTTTGATGTGTTCCGTTTGAGCCATTTTGGGTCAGGTCGAGCCTGTTGCATATGAGGGGCGGATCCTTAGGTGTTCACCAGGGTGGGGCAACCCAGTGGCTGGGCTGTGATGCTGTATATGGGGGCGGGGTCAGAGAGGTAACAATGGAGCTTGTTCTGCTCTCTTTCGGATTTCAGTCCCCTCTGCTGCTTCCCACAAGCAAATTGGGCCCTTCTGGTGCTGGTTCCCGGAACCAGCGGGCTTGTGTACGTTCTAGGACCCTGTGGGTCTCTCCAACCAACTCCTATGAGGCTGGGAGTCTCTCCTGGCACCTTTTCAATCAGTGCTTTTAGGCTTTACTTCCCGTTGCTGGGGCCCTGGGTTGCGGGGTCTGTGTTGCTGCCTGTTTTTGCCTAGTTTGTACAAGCCACCTGTGCTCTTGGGTCTGGCTGCCACTGCCGCAGTCCCTCTCTGCTGGCCGCCGACTCCGCCCCTCTTACCAGTCTGGTTGACTGGTTGTTGGACTTCTGTACAGTTCAGTTTTCTGTCGGTTCTGGTTGTGTTTTGTTTCTAAATCTTCATTGTTCTTAATTTTGGTCGTGCGAGGAGGCACATTGTTTCCACCTATGCCTCCATCTTGGCCGGAAGTTATCTACTGTTATTTTAAATATGTTTGTGTGTAATGTGCTCTTGTTCATTATTTGAACCTATCAACATGATAAAGTCTTAATAAGCAATTAAATAAATGACATTTTTTCACTGAAAAAAAGAAGGGTTTGTTGCTGCTGTCCTTCAGTCTGCCACCCCATCTGAAATCTATAGTTGCTTTAATAGTATTTGCCTTTGTCATTATCAAGAATCCCTGCTCTGCTTTCAAAGTTGGGTCTATCAAAAATCTTTATTTTATTGTTTTCCATTAGGGTATGGCCTGTCCTTCTAGTCTGATACAGAGCTGAAGTGTTTAGAGAATGATCATAAGTTACTCCTTCTACATTTTTTGATCAGCTTTTTAAAATCCTGATGCTTAGGTTACACTTTACACCATCCAAATCAGAGTGAATGGGGTAGGAGCTGTGGGCATCAGTATTTTTTTAAAGATCGCAATGTGCAGCAAGGTTTAGAAACCACTGGCTTTACTTATTAGTCAAGCTTAGAGGTTCCCCCCAGTATTTGTTCACTCCTCAGGATTAATCAGATGACTTTAATAGTGATTTTCAACCTTTATCATCTCATGACACACATGAATGAATTACTAAAATCCTGCGGCATGACAGAAAATTTTTTTTTCCAATCTGACAAAATAAGTATAATTTTGATCCATTCACACTGGTTAGTGTTGGGTTGGCTGATGTCATTTTTTTATTTGATGATCTAAGGAAAAAGAGGTCAGTGCCCCTAACTAAATAGTCAGGTATTGCATGTTTTAAAAATTCTTACAGCACATCAGTGTGCCACAGCATACTGGTTGAAAATTGCTGCCTTATAATAATAATGCATTTTAGCCTTGGCTGGTGCAGCTCAGTGGGTTGAGTGCCAGCCTGCAAACCAAGGGGTCGCTGGTTTGATTCCCAATCAGGGCACATGCCTGGGTTGTGGACAGGTCCTTAGTAGGGGGTGATCTAGAGGCAACTACACATTGATGTTTCTCTCCCTCTCTTTCACCTTCCCTTCCCCTCTCTCTAATAAATAAATAAATAAAATATTAAAGAAAAGAGAGAAAAGGGAGAGTATAACTCTCAAATATGGTGAAATATTTCGGTCCTTTTTCTTTCGTACCTGAGCTGAAAGCTTACTTTTTTACTTATTTCTACTCTCAGTGAACCACTCTTTGCCCCCGACCTCTGTGAAGTATGTGCTTTCTTTTTTACAAACAGTTCAGATAGGTGTTTTTTTAATAAGAGATCAGCTATGTTAATCAATATGTGAAAAATTTATGGGGGCATACAACTTTGAAAAAGTAGTGATTATTTATTTTAACATTGTATTTCTGAAGGCATTACTTTTTCATATTTCCACAGCCCACCCACCTAGTCTTACAGCATCAAATAAATGAATTTTCATGTGTATTTTTCACCTGATCCCTTTGGTGCTTTTCCTTAATTTTTCACTTATAAGAAAAGGCATCTTAAATGAAAAAAGGCTTGGCCACATCGCTGAAGGGATGGAAACTTGAAACTTTGTTGGTCTCTTTGGGTTAACAAATGGGCTGCATCTGTGTGCTTTAGAAGTACAGGAATGCCCTAAAATTAGAATCTGATGAGATAATGATTTTAGAAACATAAGCAACTTGTTCTTCTTGTCTGAAGACTTGCCTATCACATCCTCCAGTCTGAGAGGCCAAGATCAAGTAAACAAACCTTTCTTTCTAGATCTGCATCTGCTGGTGGACGTGGCCTGTAAGCAGGAGCACTTTCCAAAGGAGGAGGAATTAAAAGAGTGAGGAATGGACGGCATACGTGACGTTCCAGCTGTAGCTGGAAGCAGACTAGCCATGCACATGACGCACTGTTGGGGTTTCTTCAGTTCTGTTAAGGAAAAATATTTTTTTGTTTTGTTAATTGAGAATATTGTTAATTGAAAATTTGGAATTTGGTATTTACCACAGCCGTTCAGTTCAGATTGTTTACCTTGACAAACACTAACCATCTAGCAGCTTTTCTCCCCCTGCTGCCCAGATCCCTTTCGAAGGAAAATTCCTGGCCTTCTCTTACAGTCCAGACGCATCTGAAAGCTGCTGCATCTCTGGTACTGGAAAATCTGTGTGTGCGCTGATTTGTCATCTCAACACTCTCGGTCTATGGGCAGCACAACTCAGTGGGGACTTGCAGTCCATTCGTTTCAAGTCACAGTGTGATTCTTTTAGAGAAGATTGTGTGAGAAATGAAAGCATATAAGGTCACCGAGACCTCAGGTCCAAATGGTTCAGGAATTCTAGGGAAGAAACTCGGAAAAAGAGCTAATTTTCTAAGTGATTAACCAGGAAATGCTCTTAACTTTTCAAGAGCAAGGCCTTGGAAAGGCCTTCCGTTCAAGAGCAAGGCCTCCGGACTTGGACCATCCATCATACTTAACAGCTTCTAATTATATTAATGGGAGCATTCTTCTATTTTCATATCTTTCTTTCATTTTAATGATTCATTATTATAAATGATAAGCTTTTGTTAATATATCATTTATTTAAATGTCTTTTAAAGAAAAGTGTTTAACTTGTTTAATATATTTATAAATGCTGGTAGATTTAACAGTTTTAAAACTTTATATTTTTATTGCTATTGTAGGATAGAAGGACAAAGGAGATATGTGTAATATTTTTACTTTGAGGGGGAAATATACAACGTGTGAACAAAAACATTAAGAGATTTAAAACAGTGCCTTATTATTTTCGTTTTTACATTCAGTAAGTATAAATTCTCCTCTATATCAGATCTGGTGCACAAATTTTGGGATAAACTGATTAGTAGTCATTGAACAGAAGCTTCCCCTCCAGTATTTTTAATAGTCCATGTCCGGTTGAAGCTTCTGAAGGAATTTCTGGCGGCGGGATGGACTCTAACGTTTTTGTCGTACCCGCTCTGTAGGACTCTACCTTCGAGTGGCAGGGTGTGGACTGGGTTTCAGGAGAGCTGTTTTTGTTGTTCACTCTCTGTGGTGGATCCCTTACTTGCTCATCACGGGGCAGCAAGAAACTCTCCAATTTAAAGTCTTTTAAATTGCCTAGGACTTTCTTACTGGAATTCTGCTTTACTTTTCTGCACTGCAGATACAAAAGGAAAGCCTAGGAATATGAAAGTAATGAAAAAGAAAAGGCACTTAGTGATATAAGTACTATGTTAGCATTGTGGGTATGAGAGTTCCTTAAATTGTACTGTGCCTTTCCAATGACGTCAAACTGGAGAAGTGTTATGGAGATAGTAGTTGTTTTGAAAAGGATGAGCTCTGTATTGGTGACTCAGGTTAGATATGAAAGTAGGTTCTGAAAAGTGACCTGTTTGGTCCATCTGATTCTAAATAGCTGATGTCCACGTGATGGGCATTTATTCATCTTTATTAGCAAGGTTTAAAAAATGAACAGATTATCAAGGCTCCTACATCTTTTGGCCACACTATGTCTTGTGGCAGAGTATATGAAGAGGAGACCCAAATTCCAAATGAAGGAACTTGGCTTTTTCTCTGTCATGTTGAAAAGCTTGTATACTGTGGTGCTATTTCTTCCTGTAAATATGCCTTTCTTAGCTTTGTATGTGTTGAAAGAGATAATATATTTTGAGGAACATGCATCAAGTAGGAACCTTGGCATGGATTTGGCTTCAGTGGTTTTAAGGCTTAATTAACTAAATGCCTTGATCAGCTTTTCAAACTTTTCAAAAAATATGTATATGAACGCAACAGACCGAGGAGCTAGACCTCCTGCTACACTCACATGCCCACTGCTTATCATCTACAGCTGTCATCACTGACTCGGGTAAAATGGAAAAAGGTAAAATAAAATCTTGGTGTGAATTAGCCAACTGGGTCTGACACATACTAACAAGGTTCCTGACTCGCACTTCAGTGTTTCAGCACCTTCTGCGCGATCAATTTTAATCAGTCAACAATAAAGCGTTTCAACTCGACTTGTCGTCTTGCTTGTTTTTACTGTTCAATTGGTGATTATTGGAAACCTCAGTCATTATGACTATTAATCATAGCAGTAAAGTTCAAAAGAGAATGTACTCTGTTTTTCAAAGAACCTGACTTTCTAAGAAAATATGTCCTGGCTTTTTAATTTTTTCATTTGCACTTGAATAGAGATTGAATTTTTTAAGCGCCATTAAAGGGCAATTCTTAAGACATATTTATAGAAACCTAGTTTTTCGGTAGAGGACGAATGGTCTTCAGTGACTTTAGTTCATCCGGACATGAAAGTGAATACTGAAGGGTGGCTTGTCTTCTGTGTAAGAGTAGGTGGTGGAGGTCAGAGGGGTGGGCATTCCATCGCCACAGTGACTGCATCTTTATGACATCTTTGTGGAAGCTGCGGTGTACCAGCCCCTGAGGGATAACTCCAAAGCTGAGGGATAATCTAGAGCCAGAGAATAATTTTCCTTGCTTGTAGGTTCCAGTGACCTAAACAAACACGGAATATCAGTGAACTAAACTACATAGAGATGTTTAGTTTGATCCCTAGTACCTCGGGATACCCAGCTTCACGGTACATGTCACCATTCCCAGGTGTTAGAGTTTCCTTAAGAGAGGGCAACCACATTTCTATTTTTACCTTCTTTCAACTAAATGTTTTTGTAAACTCGGTTTGGTTCTCTTAATTCCTTTGAAAGATTTAAGCAGAAGTAAGGTGCCTTGGCTTTTGTAGCTCAGTGGATTGAACCTGGGCCGCGAATCATAAGGATCGCTGGTTTGATTACCAGTCAGGGCACATGCCTGGGTTGCAGGCCAGGTCCCCAGTGGGGGACACATGAGAGGCAACCACACATTGATGTTTCTCTCCCTCTCTCTAAAAATAAATGAATAAAATCTTTAAAAAATAAGTAAGGCAAAGTCCATTAGTAGCTCACTTTTCTTTAGTTTAAAAATATTTTGCATACATCATCTATAACAATGTATATTTTGTTATTTATGCTGTACTATTACATGGCATATCTAAAATAAAAATATAAAAGCATAACAGATTTTTTTTAAATTCCAGAAGGATTAGATCTATTTCTATTCTTTAGAAAGGTTCTCTAAAAGGTCTATACTTACATTATGCTCTTAATGTCCAACCAATAAAGAATATGTGCTAAGTTAAGAATTTACATTAGAATTTATCTCTTTACTCTAGGTTAGTTATTAGGCCTAAAATGTCAAAACTATCTCCACAAATCTTTAGGGGAAAACTGCTCATGCTAAATAGACTACTCATAACTTTATTCTTTTAGAGGCATTATGTATTTTAATCCTTGCAACAAACCTACAATGCAATTATTACCCACATTTAGCAAGTGATCAATATGTAAATTTTTTAAAATTTAAGATTGATATTAAGTGCTTCTTACCACAATTTAAAGAAGCACAAATCTTAACCATTTTTTTACAAATCTTAACAGTTTCTAAGTGTACTGTTCAGTAGCGTTAACCTCATTTACATCATTGTATGTTTGTACAATTTGGACAGATTTTTGGCAGAGGTCAAAAAATGTTAGTGACAATTAAATATAATCTGGTAAATTTGAAAATTTAAATGTTAGAAACATATTAGAAATGCATTGTTTCCCCCCTGGCTGGTGTAGCTCAGTGGATTGAGTGCAGGCCTGTGAGCCAAAGGATTGTGGTTTGATTCCCACTCAGAGCACATGCCCGGGTCGCAGGCCAGTTCCCAGCAGGGGACACATGAGAGGCAACCATACATTGATATTTCTCTCCCTGTCTCCTTCCCTTCTTCTTTAAAGATAAATAAATAAAGTCTCAAAAAAAAAAGAAATGCCTTATTTCTAATGACAAGATTACTGGAAAAGCTATAGTTCAGGAATGTAGTAATCAGCCAAAAATTAGTTTTCTGTTTCCTACATTCTCATTAGGCATATGCACTTTACTCCTTTGCTTGTGTTTATGACAGACTTACCCGCAGTACTGCATGGAGGACATAGGTCTAATCAATAGTATTATTTCACCTCCCAGAGGTGTGAGAAGAAAATAGCTGATTCTAAACCTCTGACATCAACCTGATCTGAAAGCTCTACAGAGACACAGTTTAGAAAAGAGCTATTAAACTTAAGTCAGTAAGCACTGAAGAAAAACTATGCATAAAATAGAGTTCTTGCCAGGACTGTAAACATAAGAACAATAAATCAGTAAGTATTACAGCACAGGATCACTTTATTCTGGCTTTGTGCCATTTATAGGTTCTAAAACCCAGAAAGAGCAGAGATCTCTTTGAATTTATATTTGCAAAACCCTTTGTCTATTCATCTTCTGGGTTTCCTTCCCCCCCCCCCCCCCCCATTTCCTCATACCACTGTGCTCTTAGGTGCAGAATCTGGTTAGGCATCTGTTTGGCCCTGACTTACATGCGGTAGCTTGCCTACCCAGGGAAAGGAATTGAGGATTGAATTGGATGCAATTTGGCTATGGCTCGATAGAGGGAGTAGAGGAGCTGAGAGGAGAGAGAGCAAACGAACGTGTCTGGTTAACTGTGTGTGTGCGCGCGCCCAAGCCGAGCTGGAGCCTGCGGGGGGAGGAGGGGCAGGATGGGGGGTGGTTGCCTCTAGCTGCTCCACCCTCACTTTGTGTCAGCAGGTAGAGAGCGTGATTGCAGTCTCAGGGGAGGGAGGCCGAGCTAGAACACCAATTACAAACCACAGGCTTCCTCCTCTAGGGAGGTGATCCAGAATTGTCTTTTCTGGAAGGGAAGCACTCGAATCCTTCCGAACTTTCCAAGTCCATCCATGATTCAGAGATATTGCCTTCTCCCTCTGGGATTTTCTGTGTTCCTGGTAGTGAACTGTTGCTTTGCTTCTTTGCTCTTTCAAGATTTGATCCTTTTATATGCTGTTCGGGGAGAAAAAGAACTTTTGTTAGAAAGGCGATTTCAGAAATGACTTTGGATTCTCTATAAGTGTTTTTAGAGTTCTTGGGGACAGTAGCTCTAACCCTGGACTGAGTTTTTGCCTTTGACCTGCATGGATTATTTTTTCAGGCTTCGGAATTTCTCGGCACCTACCTGCAGTGCGGGGCACTTGGTTTGGTTGCAGAGTAAGAAGGTGGAAGAATGAGCTGTACTTGGTTAAACAGTTGAAATCTTTTTTGAGCAGGAGCTATAAAAGCGTAATTGAATTTGTTTCACACCCGTGGATTCCAGTGGGCCCGACAGCGCAACAGGTTTGCAGATTTCTTTTGAAACTCTTTTTTTCCCCTCCCTCTACCTCAGCAAAAGAAAGAATCTGTATAACAGGTTCATGTTCAATTGCTTGGCTTTTCAGCACTTATTCTGAAGACTATAAGATTTTTAAAATTTGACCTCTGAACACAGTGGGCTTTGTGATTGAAGTGCATTTATATTTACTTTACTAAGGATGCACATTTTAAACTTTTAAAATAAGGTTTTATTTGTACAAAGACCCAAATTCTTCAGCGTGCCTAGAAATAGCACAGATCTACCCCACTCGGGCTTTTTACCTTTTCAGAGTCTTCTTAGAGCCTGTAGGCTAATCACCTCCCTACTCCCCCTTTTATACCCCACCCCCTCAAGGAATTTGAAAACGTGTTAGGAATAGTCCTTTGTTTTACTTATGAACCTAGAAAATTACAGATTATAAAATCAGGATAATAAAGTAGTTTCCAAAAGCACCTCATGGGAAATCAAAGTGCTTAGCATTCTCAAGCAGGAGAATAAAAGCTGGAACTCCTTAGAGAGATAGAAAAGTAAAGATAGAAATGCGGTTTCGAACTGGGAAAAATCACTGGAAAGCTAACCTTTTCAAACATTTTTCTCATTTGAAAGTTGGAAAAGGTGGTGATACTCAGGATTATCCTGTAATACATGAAGACATAAATTACCACCTAATTTACAGGCATATTTAGGTAGAACATAAAGACATTATAGTATATTTTAAGTTCATGAAAAGCATTGTAAGTTCAATGGGCCTAGACCTTTGGCCACACTGCAATGCAGTTGAATGTGTAAACTTTTATGAGTACATGTTGTAGCATCTTTAGACATCTCTCAAGGTGTGACCTGAAATGTTGTTCCCTCTCCTTCCCCATTTGAAAGAAAAATTCTCCTGTGATCTTTAGCCTTTTACCACTGAAAAATTTTGAGGCTTAACAAGGACCATCTCTTCACTTTCTGAGCTGGAGTTTTTTTTACTCTCACCTTCAATGCATGGCCTTAGTTGTTTACTTTGCCTTGTTTTGTTCATTAACATTGGGTTTAGTGGCTCGACAACTTGATGCATATGGAAGACCAGCACCCAGTGACCTGATAATAAAAATTCAGGATGTGACTGACATTCAACCTCAAGCAAAGTTGGAAATTCCAAAGAGAAGTGGTGGTGTCTTTGCTAATAATAGTGAAGATGGGAGAAAATGACATACCTGCAGCCGAAGTGGGCTGAAAATACCCTCTTCCCTGCCAGATCAGGAATGCCACCTGTTCTTGGGAATATACTTTAGAGAAAGAAAGGGCCAAAACTATGACTGGGGTTCCTGAAACTGAAGCATAAATTCTCTCTTCCTTCATTTGTCTGGATCCGAGAAGCTGTGTTTGGTATTAGCTGGTGGAAGCAGTATGTATGGCCGAAGTGCATTGCTGCAGCTGGTAGCATGAGTGGTGGCCACCAGCTGCAGCTGGCTGCCCTCTGGCCCTGGCTGCTGATGGCTACCCTGCAGGCAGGCTTCGGACGCACAGGACTGGTACTGGCGGCAGCGGTGGAGTCTGAAAGATCAACAGAGCAGAAGGCTATTATCAGAGTGATCCCCTTGAAAATGGACCCTACAGGAAAACTGAATCTCACTTTGGAAGGTGTGTTTGCTGGTGTTGCTGAAATAACTCCAGCAGAAGGAAAATTAATGCAGGTAAGGACACCTTTCTTAAATTTGACTTTCCATCTGTTTGAAATATGCCTTTCTCCTTTTATCTCCCAAACCAAATACTACATTTGAGGGCTTCTGTGGCTTACCTTTTTTATTTGTTCCATCCTTTAAGGATATTGCCTCATTGGCATTCTAAAGCAAATCCTGACTTTATACTTGAGAAGAAACATATAAATCCTACATTTTAGAAGATCACCTGCTTATTTTTAGCTCTGATAATTACATTGTATTTTTAGTTGCACATAGTAAGACCCTTCTTTGCAAGTGATACATTCTGGACATAGTATTTTGATAGGTGAAATACATAGGCTTGTATTTAATCGAGGCCTGTTTAAATTTGAATCGAGCCCTAGGGAGGTGGATTTTAATGGTCAGCAGCACCCTGAAATTCTGGAATGCCCCTGGAGCGAATTTGATCACCGTGTCACTTTCGAAAATCAGTCAAGCTTGGGTGCCCCCACTGGCTCTACACCTCAGGTGGCGCCCGTTGCCGAGCCCAAAATGGAGAGGCCTGGGTCACAAAATGGACACAAGGTGTCAACTCACCTCCTGATCCCTTTGGCATCGTCCGTACGTAATTTTATGATCTTCAGAGACACTTAACACTGAACATTTTTCTATTGATGCACAAAGTTTCTCGGACACAGTTTTTCAGGCTTTCAGGCTGTGGATTTTGCCTACCACTCATTCAAAGCCTGCTCTTTCTGTGTTGGATTTATGAACTGAGGAGGCCCGTGGCGTTTCACAGGTAAATTGCTCGTTCCTGCAGGGAGGACAGAGCCTAGAGGGCTGGGTCTTGGCAACGTGGCCTCCCAGGATCTTATTCCATAATATTATGTTGTTGGTTTATCGATTAAACTGTATTTATGAAAGGACACCTCTTGCTGTACCTCTTGGACACAGGTTAAAATGTTGTTAAATATGCTTTATCTTGGCATCCAAGCTCAGATTTCTACTTTCTGGTATGAACAGAACCAAAGTATGAGATGAATTTTTAATTCTGTTCTCTTTTGAGAAAGAAGGTGAGAGTTTTGAACAAATTCTAGAACTCCCTTTCCAAGCATGGATTTTACATTTATGATTTAGTGGTTCTTCATGATTACTTTTTAGGCAATATTTTGAAGCTGGGATAAGTGAAGTGGAGGAAGAATTGGGTGAAATGGAAGGCCCTGCTATTTAGAAAAATAAACGGGGAAAGAGCATGTATCTGGAAAAAAGGGCTTAAGAATTTTTGCCTAAGAGTCTAATCATTTAATTTGCACTCTAGCATGGCATTAGGAACATTTAAAAGTTGAAACATAAATCACTGTGAATGCAACAATTAGAAAGGAAACTTTCCCTCTGACCATGCCTAGGTAGTTCCCGGAATCGTGAAGTACGGGCTTCGTTTTATAACCTTAGCTATTTTACTGTGCAACTCTGTTTTGGTCTCTGAGGTCTTTGGGAACTCCTGTGGCAGCAGCACGTTCAATGGGTTAATTATCTACTGCGTAAAATAGTGTCCTTTTTCTTTTAAAATTTTTCTTCTGTCTTAAAGCTCTATGTAAAGTTTCTGTGTATTCACAGAGGGAACGGTGTGTTAGAGGCACTAGCTGACATGCTCTTTGCCGCTTCTTATTTTGCCAGTCATTATCATATCTCCTCTTATTCTGCTCTTTTCCTCAATGGTAACGTTGTCTAATTTTTTAATGGTTAATATTGAGCCTCTTAGCATACTTTAAATATTGTTTCTTTATTTGGAGAAGAGGGAGTTTCATTGTATCCATTATTTAGTAAAGGCCTCTCAGGCTTTTACAGAGGATTGTGTCATTGGCAATTTTCAGTCCTTCTTTACCTTTTCTGTCCACGCAAGCATCTTCTAGGTCATTAATAAATAAACTTGTAAACTAGCCTAGTATTAATCTCTCGTGACTATCAGTATCGTTCCTGGTTTATGGTCTATTAATCAATCCTTAATCCAGAATAGTTACTAAATTTTCTGAATAGTGTCTTATGAGACAATTATGTTTTAAAAAACCACCTTTTGAATGGTAAGCATCTGTACTTTTTTATCCACTATTGGATGAACTCGTTCAAAGAACTCCGGTGTGTTGGGGCACGTGGTTTTACACGCCTGGAATCCACGCTGTTCACTCCTTATCAGATCATGCGGCAGCTCAGGTGCGCTCATCTGTGGTTAACCAAGCCTTCCACGGAACAGGAGTTCTGTGTGTGTCCCAGGAGCTGTGCTTTGCTGCACTGCAGCTTTCTGGGTGAATGGCTGTACCCTGGTGTCACAAATCTGAAGGGCTCTTCTCTGTTGGCTTTAAGGAATTTTGGACAATTCTACACATCCTTCTACTTATGAATGAATTATTCTAGCTGCCTGATAATTTTGATTGTCCCTGAAGGCGCAATCAGGTCTTTGTAGACCTGGGGATGCTATGGATTGGGAAATGTGAAGGTATGAAAACAGGGATTTTTAAAAAAAAGTTCTTGTGGTTTCTGGAATTTCCAGAGAGTTTCAGAAAAAAATCTAACATTCTGCTCAATTAATTCAAGATAGGTACAGTTTCATGAGGGACAAATTAACTAGATTTTCCCTTGTATTACAATTTTAATTTTTCTTAGACAAAGAGAGACATCCCTTGACAGGGTGCCCCCCATTTGTTTAGTAATGCAATGGACCATAGAATTGTCTCTAAAATAATTGTACTCGTGTCAGTTTCATCTGATGGCTGTGTGTACAAGGACATTGAAGTCCGAGCCTTGGTGAATTTTCATCCCGACTCTTATGCCTCACTCTTTGTGCTTAGGTTTCTTTTTACCCGCAGTAATACCCATCTTACAAGATACGTTTAAAGTTTTAAACTGTAATATTCTTTTTAAAGTATAAAGGAAAGTCAAAATAGAAGAGGAAATGCAGCCTGTGCTATTTCTTCCGCTTCGGAGCTCCGCATCTTAGCCCTGACCAAACTAAATTGGTTTTCTTTCTTTTCTGCCCAAGAGGCTGCTGCTTCGCATTTTACCAGAGCATTTCACATCCCAGTGCGTGTGGCTGTTGTCTGGAAAGTGCCTCCTTCTTAGGTTTGCCCTGCATTTGGCACAGTCTTTGTCTCTTTCTTCTGATTGCCTTCCACCTCTTTGTCTGTGTTTCCACTTAATGTTTACATTTAGGATAGCCTTCCTTCTGCTGCTATTCTGATCAGGCATTTTCCGAACTAGCTGTCAAGAATATTTTTAACTCTGTGTAGTGATGGATAGTAACTAAACTTACTGTGTAATTATTTCGCAGTATATACCTATATCAAATCATGTTTATATCTAAAACTAGTGCAGTGGTATATGTCAACTCTACCTCAATTAAAAAAGAGACAGAGAAAGTGGAAGACCAAAAAGAAAATCCATTTCAAGGAAACTTTCCAGATTTCCTCATTACTTGGCTAGTGACTGATAAAGAGGACTAAATAATAGTGATTATAACTCCTTGCAATCTTTTATTTTTCAGTTGAATATATTCTCCTGGTTTATAGCATTGTAGATGGTAAATGTACTGGAGCTTATGCATTCATTATCTGATTATCCAGTTTTCTAGTTTGTTTACTTCTTTTCAATGTTTGTTTATATTATTTCTGGTAATATAGTTGCTACCACTTCTAAAAATGATTACAGTCTTATTTTCTTTCTTAATGTTTTTCCTTATTCATAAACATTACTAACTGGAGGGACAACTCAAATGAATCTTTTCTTCTCAAAGCAAAAGAACTAGAGGATCTGAATGTGGTGCAAGAGAGGTCACCAACTGGACTGTTAGACTCTTCCTGCTCAGCTGGTTGTCCTGGATTGTCTTAGACTCCAGGATAAAGTGATGATCAAGATTAGAATGCACTGCCCTGAGGCTTCAGACCTAGGGTGGGAGCTGTGCTAGCTCAGCATTTGGGCAGCAGCAGTGAGCACCTCCTGGACGCCTTCCCCTTTGCATGAGGTCTCTGCTCGCCCCTTCGTTTACCTATTAGGCAACACCTCGTCATCTCATCTGTGCATTTTTACTTTATTTGTTGTCAGGTCCTGAAATGAATTATTTGGGAGGGGAGAGAAAACTTTATGACAAAGTTTTGAGCAAAGCCAGAGAGATAATGCTATATAGCAAAACTGTAGTTGGCAAAGCAACTAAACTGTGACTCAAGGGACTGACTTTCATTTCTGACTCTGCCACTAGGTTGGCTGGGTGATTTGGGAGAAAATGGTTCACCTTTCTAGGCTTTAGAGTCTATATCTGTAAAATTGGATTGAAACACAATCATAACAAGCTTGGGTTGTGATCGTTACACATATTAGCTCGTTGAATCTTCATAATAACTCATGAAAGAAGTGAAGTGCAGTACCTTTATTTTTCACATTTTACAGATAAGGAAACTGGAGCTTAAACTGTTGGTATCTGCCAAGGTCATGACTGCAGCTAGTAGGTTGCATGGTTGGAACTTGAACCCTAAAGCTTGTGCTTTTCCAGCTCTAAAATTCTATACATCTAAGAATGCCATAGATGAACAGAACACCAGCGTAGGCTTTGTACAAGTGATTCATTCCTTTCTACAGTAGAAAGGAATGATAGTAATGAGTATGGTTCTCTGAGATTGATCCAGAAAACACAATATCCTGCTAATTTCCAAAAACCTCTGTATTTCTTCTATTCTCTCATTTGTGTTTCATTTGCGAGGATATTTGTAAAGCAGAATATTTATTTGCTCAGTATCTCCCTTTTAAAGTAAGAACATCTTTCTCTTCATTTTATAACAGTCTGTGGTAAATTAATTAACATAGGAACCTGCCATCACCTTTGAAACAACATGTATCTGTCTGCCATTAATCAAGTTCCTTAGAAGCAGAGATTTCAAAGGTTTTTGCATTGAGGCCAGCCAGCCTTTTAAAGAAGTATTAATACTCAAAGCACAGTCAACTCTCATTTATGTTAATGAAGGTAGGTGCAGATAATCCAATGAATTTGTAATTGACTTTGGAACATAGTCGGAAGTACCCAGCAGACATAATTCCTTTGCGTGCACAGTCTCAGGTGCTTGCCTCCTGCAGCGCCAGGTCAGAGCCTTCCGACCTGGCTTTGTTGTTAGAAGCCTGGCACCCAGAGCAGAGAAGGAAGCTGCAGGATATTCTTAATGACAGATTTTCAAGTTAAGAAGATACCTCTTTTATAAGCACTCATCCAACAGATTTGTTATACAATGGTTTCGTACTTCATGTGGATTCCAGCAAAAATTGTGCGTGTTCATATTTGTAAATCTCTGTGGTCAGGAGGAGATAATGAATGACCTGTGCCCAGTTATTGTCCCTATCAGTCTATTTAGTGTTCAGTTAGCTGGTCCTGGGGGTAGGTATTTCATCAGTTTTTGTAGTAAAGTATGCATGTGCATGTGTGCGTGTTATCATTTTCTCCGTCTAAAAATTAGCCATAGTTTATTTTGTATAGCGTATTAAGGATATTCCTAGGACTTACAGTTAGGTTTGTTTTTAATAGGTTTTGCCTTTATATTTTATTCACTGGAAAGTGTTTTTCGGAACTTGTTTTGTTTTTCTCTATTATTGCCTTCAAATTGCTCAGTACAGTAGAGGAAAAAGATGTATAAATGACCAATGTACTACTATAAATGTCCTGCCAGGAACCAGAATTGGTAACAGGGTATTGTTAGAGAAGAATGTGA